AGTCCCAGCTACTTGGGAGGCTGAGGCAAGAGAATCGCTTAAGCCCAAGAGTTTGAGGTTGCTGTGAGCTGTGATGCCATGGCACTGTGCCAAGGATGACATACTGAGAGTCTGTCTCAAAATAAATAAATAAATAAATACATAAGTTTTAGTGTACAAAGCTGAAAGCAAGCATATTAAATTATCTAACACTCAAGAGTTCACCCTTACCAATAATCATTTCCATATTTTTTCCAGGTCCAAAGGAGAATAATCCAGTATACCCACAAACAATAAATAAATAAATAAATAAACAAAATGCATGTTTTCAACTGAATAGGAATAGACTGTCACTTTATTTTTTAGTAAACTTAAATGGAAAGGAAATACACAGGAAAATGTTGCTCAATTATTTTATGATAATTTGCATTTTTCTAGTAATCAGTGAAACTGAGTACTTTTTCATATGTTTCCTGGCCATTTTTATATCTTCCTTTGCAAAATACCTGTTTAAGTCTTTTGCCAATTTTTCTACTCAGTAAAACTCTTTTTTTTTTTCTTTTGAGACAGAGTCTGTGTTGCCTGGGTAGAGTGCCATGGCATCACATCTCACAGCAACCTCAAATTCTTTGGGCTTAAGCCAGCGGTTCTCAACCTGTGGGTCATGACCCTTTGTAACAATGAAAATACATCATAGCATTAGGAAGGTTGACAAACACTGGCTTAAGCAATTCTCTTGCCTCAGCATCCCGAGTAGCTGGGACTACAAGTGCCTGCCACAATGACCAGCTACTCAGTAAAACTCTTATTAGAAGTTATTTATCTGTCATTTTTTTGGTCATGTATTACAAATATATAGAAAGTTTTAATATAATCATTAGCCTTCTCTTTTATGATTTTTTAAAAAAAATCTTTCCCGGCTTGGCGCCTGTAGCTAAAGCGGTTAAGGCATCAATAACATACAACAGAGCTGGCAGGTTCAAATCCAGCCTGGGACTGCCAAACAACAATGACAACTACAACCAAAGAATAGCCAGGCATTGTGGGGGGCACCTGTAGTCCCAGCTACTTGGGAGGCTGAAGCAAGAGAATCACTTAAGTCCAGGAGTTGGAGGTTGCTCTGAGCAATGATGCCATGGCACTCTACCCAGGGCAATTGCTTTAGGCTGTGTCTCAAAAAAAAAAAAAA